AATTATTTTAGTAACTGCCGGTCCTGTTGGTATCGGAGGTGAAGTTTCTGGTAGTGTTTATGATGCCGCTTCCCTCTTTTCTTATAGCAAATCTAAAGGTCTATTCGTTGGTACGTTTATTATCAAAATATTATTCATTTGTTTTCAAGTTATTTATACTATATTCATTCTTTATTCACAAATTTATATAGGTGTATCGCTTGAAGGTACTATCATCTTTGAGCGTAAGGACGCGAATAAGACATTTTATGGCGAAGATATTTCTGCTGAAAATCTCTTGTGTGGAAAAGCTGGAATGCCTCATCCACATGCCACTCACATATTGTATGAAGCTATTAGAAAGGCTGAAGAAAGACAACCAAAAAATTAAATTAATATTCACCCCCGTAAATTCATCGCTTTAACCTTAGCAATTCAATAGCCATTTCAATATATTCCAATTTTATTTGATATATGCTAATATCTTTATTAACTTTTGGTAGCTTATCTTTTTGGTTATACATTTTCAGATAGTTAAAAAACAAAAACAATTTAATTAAATATATTGATTATATTTTTTTATACTATCAGTCCCCTTTTTTGTTAAACTTAAATTAAACGCGATTTGATAAAAGTTTAATTTTAAGTTCCAGTTGGTTCAATTTTCACATGCTAGTATCGATGTTATCATCGATGGCGTTTTTGTAACGTTAGACAATACTAAAACGTTGTTTTCACGCGATTTTTGGATCACCTTGATCGTTTTGACAGCGTATTCTTAAAAAGGTGACGCACAAACCATCTCATTTATCTGGGGTTCTTGCGTTTTTTTATCATTGATAACTTCCATTAGCATTACTCATTAGTCATTTGAAACACAATTAAACTTGAAATTATATGTAATAAACTTTATACAATAAACCTTATAACGAATCATGAATGTTTCAATATGTTATCACAGGTTTACCGCTTTTTAAGTCTTCTAATAGTGTGTCTAAAAGACAAACCCATTGTCGTTATCGCTATTACAATCATTAATTCAGACTAGGCTGTGCGTATACTGTACTTATCAATATCTAAACCCCACAAAAAATTTTATAATGTTAAAATGGCTGATTTTTATTTATCTAATTCATTTCTTTTAGATTAAAAGTAAAATATTTGAGATTCCGTTCTAAATTAACTCTTTTTAATTCCTCCGCATCTTCTAATGTATCTATAAAGATTATACAGTATAATACAGTATATAATTTATCATTCATAATTACAATATTACAATTATAATTTATTATAATATTGAATACGTACTGTATATAATTTATGAAAAAAAATTCTCAATACGTACCTTCATTATAACTATTCGCCTTTTCTAACCTTTTACGAAGATTATCCTTTCTGATCTTTTCTTTAAGTTTTTTTAGCCCAGTTTTGGTCGACGGAAATTTATTCTTTTCCCTTGCTTCTTTAACTTTTATTGTTTCCTTCTTTTTTAAAGATCGTGCTTCACGTCTTTCATCGGAAGTATTATACCAATCTAGAAGTCGCTTCTTCAAATCTTTCTCATTTAACACCGTTTTAGTTTTGTGTAATTGTTTGGACATAGGGTATTACTTATCGAACATATATCGCTTAGCGTATCGTTTAGCGTATCGCTTAACGTTTTAGCGTTAGGGTTAATATAAATTTTTAGAATCTAGAAACTGAATGCGGTAATAAAAAAAAAAAAGTTTTACACATATATCACATGATCTTTTAGCATTTACACTATGTAACACAGTAACAGTAACGATAAGTCTTCTTATCGTTTTCGTTACCAATCAATGAGTTATGTGCACAACAGTGGGCCAGTTAGATATTCTTCCTCTTCGTCGTACGTTAAAAACGAATCAACCCATATTAATAACTTCTGTGACTATAAATTCTCCCCCTTCTCTTCTTAATCATCTTCATAAAATTTTTAATGATATTATCGAAGAAGGAACTACATATCCTCAAGAATTCATTCTTGATTATGATGGTTTTATTAATTTATTTTTAAGTCATAATACGTTTATTGCTTTGAAAGATGATGATGATAATGATAAGAATAAAGAAGTTTGGGAGGATAAAGTGATGGGTATGTTTTATATAAAACCTAATTATCCTGGACGATCTAGTCATGTAAGTTACTATACACAATATAAAATGTATTTCCAGCTTATACGTACAATATCTTTTTTAACTTTAAAATACCTATTAATAAATCAATCTTTTTATTAATTTAGATTTGTAACGCTGGTTTTGTGGTTCCATTAAAATTTAGAATTTTGGGCGTTGGTAAAATAATGGCTGAATCATTTCTTTTATTTGCTCCATTATTAGGTTATAAATCTAGTGTTTTTAATTTAGTATTTGAAAATAATATTCCTTCTATAAAACTTTGGAGATCTCTTGGTTTTAAAGAAATTGGAAAAATTCCTAATGCTGCAAGGTTAAAAGGTTCTGATAAATTAATTGATGCTTTAATGTTTTATTATGATTTTGATAAAATAAATTGATTGTTTAAATTACTGTATACGTATATAATACTCACGTATAATACGTATTTTTGTATATAAAATATTATGAGTATTGCTAACTTGCTCTCCTGGTTAACGCAACCACCCTCTTATTATAACTCCAAAACAGCTTAAATAACTATGTTTAATACTAAGTAAAAATATTTAGCATTATAAAAAATCTTATTTAGCCTATTGTAATATAATATTGTTAGACCCTTGTTAATAAGTTACTTTACTTGATTAAATGTTTGAGTAGTTAAGAAATATATTTATATAATTTTATAAAAAAAGCAGTTTATAGTTAAAATAAAATATTATTGATTTATTGCTATAGTGATACTTATTAAGAAAGGTTATAATCAACAGTTTATAAACTAAAAGATAGATTTATTAATTCAAATAATATTTAAAATAATATTACAGATAAAAACAGAAAATACAGTTTAAAAAAATAAATTTAATTCTAAAAAAATATTATAAAAAATAAACAAAGATTACAGTCAGACCTCCCTAAGTGCACTTCCCTAAGTGCACGGATTAAGTAAATTCTCTCTAAATGCATGGTGTAGTCT